TATTAATTCTTAACTTTTTCTTAGGAGGAACAGAAATTTGCCCTTTTGGAACATCAACTGTTTTCTATGATGATGTTATCCACTGGTGTGTAGCACGTCCACGTAACTACGGCATGTAGCACGTCCACGTAACTACGGTATGTAGCACGTCCACGTAACTACAGTATGTAGCACGTCCATGTAACTACGGTATGTAGCACGTCCACGTAACTACAGTATGTAGCACGTCCATGTAACTACGGTATGTAGCAAGTCCACGTAACTACGATGTGTACCACGTCCACGTAACTACAGTATGTAGCACGTCCACGTAACTACGGTGTGTAGCACATCTGCACGTCACAGCTCACCAAGCATCCCAGGTCTCCTGGTTCCTCACTCAGAGACGAGATGAACATTTTTCTCAGTAATGAATAATAACTTTAAATGCACTCTGTAAACACTTTACACTATATAGGAAAAGTCAACAAATTCTTTTTAAGTAAAAAATAATATAATTGTCTAGGATTTCTTGTTTATAAAGATCTTACCCAAAACTTTCTGCCTCACCAACTTATCTGTACTTAGTAAGCTAGTTGGACATGGAGTGCCTCGATGGTTTTCCCACTACATGATTCATTGCTAATTTTATTCATAAGATAACACTGCCTTAATTTAATTCAATTTATGGTAAGGTTATCTGCGTAGACGAGCATTATATTGCATTAATTTATGGTTATTAATTGATATATGAAATACATTCTCAGGAGTCAGTTGGAGCACAGGCATCGTAAAATTTTCCATACGGTGACAAATTCTTTATCATTACTGTTATATAAGGTTGACGGGTTCATGACCGACTCCTCTGTAGCAGAGAGTGTAAAATTAGGCTGAAATTTAAAACAGTAAAAACGTGAAATCTGCTCTTGAATAACAGAGTACAACGAACAATAACAAAATACTTTCCATCTGTTGGTAAGGTACTGTTTACGTTCCTTATTAACACAATTATGCTCACTGTAAACTAGATTAAAATTGACCCAGCATATCAGGAATTTTATTTTAAAAAAATTACAGTTTTTCACCCACTGTTTATTAAAAATTAAGCATTTCTCAGTTAACGTATATATAGGCTGTTCAAGTGTAGCCAGCTAGTCAGCAACACCCAAAATACTGAGATATTTTGAGTATTTTAAAAAACCTTGATACGTATTTTTTTCAGTCTCTGTTTATTATATATTAAGTACATTCCACAATGTAAGATTGTGCATGTTGTTCACTTGTAGCTAATTCGTCAGAAATACTCATTATATATAAAGAAATGAATTTTCATTTTTTTCTGGAACTGAAATTCCTTGTGTAGGATTAATTATGCATACTCGAATTAGTCTTAAATCATACTTTATGCATAGTAGCAATGTTTTGTCTAGTATCATCAGTTATAACGACAGAAGTGAATCTAGGGGCTTAAGCCAGAGTTTCAGTCTTCGAGGCTAAGAAATCTTAAAATGCTGAAAAATCAAAGAAATAATTTTGAAAATAATGTAATTTTCAGTTTGAATAATACAGTGAAAAATAAATTATTAACTAAAAAAAATGAAAGCATTTCCATCTGTGAGCATAATCAAAGATAATATATAGTATGCTTGATCTTGTTAACAACCTATATCAGACCCTAGTGCAATTGCAAGTACCATTTTAATTTGTATTTTTAAATTATAAGTTTATACCTAGTTGTACTTTAGCTCATTCTAACTCAATACTTAGACAATACCTAAACTAACTATACCTAGTTGTACTTTAGCTCATTCTAGCTCAATACTTAATACTTAGACAACACCTAAACTAACTATACCTAGTTGTACTTTAGCTCATTCTATCTCAATAAATAGACAACAATAAATTCATTTTATTAGACCTTAGTGCAATTACAAGAGTGAGTCTGGTACCACTTGTAATTTGTTTTTTTATAGTATTAGTTTATACCTAGTAGTACTTTAGCTTATTCTAGCACAACACACAGACAATATCAATTTCATTATGTTTATTAGTGACTACACTCTATATGACCAAAGTGCTTTAGCGGTATACTTGTCCAAACCTTCCACCACTACAGAAATCAGTATTAGAACTCACCACATAATACAGGATATAAACAACCACTATTTAAACCTAAAAGATGAATGATCACGTTGACCCTGACCTAAACCTCCATAATCTAACACACAATCAAAACTTATTGGAAAGTAACTGCCTTTATTACACAGCATCACAAGCCAGCACTATCCTGAACACTGCTCAAAGTCTATAAGTTCTTAACTACAACATCAGGTCCTTAAGCAAACACTATGATGATCTCCTGGCACTCCTTGAGTCACTAAAGACACCCTTCTCCTGCATTATTCTTACTGAGACCTGGCTTAAGCAGGACACAATTGATATCTACCCACTACCAGGATACACAGCAATCCACAACTGCAGACCATACCAAGTTGGGGGTGGTACTGCAATCTATTACTCTAACCAACGGTGCCCCGGTGCCCCGGTGGCCTGGTGGCTAAAGCTCCCGCTTCACACACGGAGGGCCCGGGTTCGATTCCCGGCGGGTGGAAACATTCCGACACGTTTCCTTACACCTGTTGTCCTGTTCACCTAGCAGCAAATAGGTACCTGGGTGTTAGTCGACTGGTGTGGGTCGCATCCTGGGGGACAAGATTAAGGACCCCAATGGAAATAAGTTAGACAGTCCTCGATGACGCACTGACTTTCTTGGGTTATCCTGGGTGGCTAACCCTCCGGGGTTAAAAATCCGAACGAAATCTTATCTTATCTTATCTAACTATCTTGTATCATAGTCACTTAAAAATAACTCTGAGAATTTGTCTCACGTCCCACCATTATTGTACAAGCGAGTGGCCCATGTCCTTTCACATGCTATTACATTACTTTTTAACAAGTCACTAGAAACTAGCACGTTCCCGACACTGCTCAAGACAGCAAGGGTTATACCAATACATAAAGGTGGTGACCCTACAGACGTAAACAACTATAGGCCAATATCAAACTTACCATTGCTATCCAAAATCTTCGAGAAACTCGTGCACAGGAGACTATATTCATTTATAACGTCACAAAACATACTCAACCCCTGCCAATTTGGATTCAGGAAAAATAAAAGCACTAATGATACAATTATAAAAATGCTAGACCTGCTTTACACAGCATTGGAAAATAAGGAATATCCGCTAGGAATTTTTATTGGCCTAAGAAAAGCGTTTGACACAGTAGACCACGGCATCCTACTCCACAAACTTGACCACTATGGTATAAGAGGCCATGCACTTGCATATTTTAAATCCTACCTTTCTAATAGGTATCAGTATGTCACCATTAAAGACACAGCCTCATCAATACGGCCACTTGATACTGGAGTTCCGCAGGGAAGTGTCCTTGGACCCCTGCTCTTCCTCATTTACATCAATGATCTTCCAAACATATCTCAACACCTGAAACCCATTCTCTTTGCTGACGACACGACTTATGTCATCTCCCACCCTGAACTCGCCACCCTCAACACCATTGTTAACGAGGAGCTGCTCAAAATGTCGACTTGGATGACAGCCAATAAACTTACACTTAACACTGGCAAAACCTACTATATTATGTTTGGTAGCAGAGCAGGTGTTGCGCAACTTAACATTAAGATTGGCAACACTCTTGTTGCCAGACATAATGAGGGCAAATTCCTTGGCCTATACCTCGACAACAACCTAAATTTTAGCACCCATATCCAACGCATAACAAAAAAAGTATCCAAAACTGTGGGGATCCTCTCCAAGATACGATATTATGTGCCGCAAACTGCCCTTCTCACACTATACCATTCACTTATATATCCATACCTCACTTATGCTATCTGTGCTTGGGGTTCAACTGCAGCAACTCACCTAAAGCCAATAATAACCCAACAAAAAGCCGCAGTAAGAATAATCACTGAATCCCATCCCTGGCAACACCCCCCCCCCACTCTTCATAGATCTAAACTTACTCCCTGTTCAGAACATCCACACTTACTACTGTGCAGTCTATATCTACATGACCTTAAATTCCAATATTAACCTTGACCTAAAACGCTTTCTTGATAGTTGTGACAGGATCCACATGCATAACACCAGACACAAACATCTCTATGACATTCCCCGTGTTCGACTAAACCTTTACAAAAATTCAATGTATTTCAAAGGACCTAAAATCTGGAACACCCTACCTGAAAACTCTAGAACTGCAAACACATTCATCACTTTCAAAACTATAGTTAGAAAACATCTTATCTCCCTGATCCACCCCGACAACTAACTACATGATAACCACCTGGTGGTTCAAAATTACTCACTCACCCACTGACTATAAACCCAGAAATACTAATCTTAATCTTAAAATAATAAATCCTAACTAGTCATAAGTTTGCCTATGATACTCAAATATAGACACCTTGTATTGTGCCAAAACAAAAGCATTCACATTGGTAAACTCACAAATTGTGATGTAGTCACTTAGCCTTAATACCATAATCTGTAAGGATTTAATGTTCAGAATTAATCTAAGTCTGCTCGAAATGCCTAGCCATGCTAGGTGTCCTAGTGGCCCCTCTGTAATTAGTATTTTATAACATGTAAACCACAAAATACCCAAAACCTGTAAAACCCACATTGTAACCATTATAGAGAATAAACTTGAATTGAATTGAATTAGATAAAGACGCGAAATGAAAGGCATGACTTCTAATCCCCGTTAAAGACTATACAAATTTGTTATTCTTTTATTAAAATTAACTTTGTATTTCTTCAAATGAAGCCATAACTATGTGCCCATGATAATGAGCTGTGTATACGAAGATTATGGAAACTGATGGTGTATGGTCAGAGCAGTGCCAGCATGGTAGCACCCATGGCAGGGCTTGCAACCTGGAGTTTATATTTTGTAAACATTAAACGTTAGGTAGAGAATGAAATAACTTCAGGATTAGTTGCATATTTATTGAGTTAGAAACCCCTGATAAAAATGGGCTATGCATAGTATTCAGAATATTCCACAAATTGTTAGGGAACAAGGAAATATAATCAGGTAAGAATTAATGGTGTCATTACAATTTGAGCAATCTGATTTTAACGAACTTATAGGCCTCTGTTAATGCCTCCAACATGATACTAATGACGTCGAAAGTCTAGTATTCTGAGCACCTTGTGAATACCACCACCATGATCCTGATGAGGTCGATGCGTCATGAACTTAGCACCTATTGAACACCACCATGATCCTGATAAGGTCGATGCGTCATGAACTTAGCACCTATTGAACACCACCATAATCCTGATAAGGTCGATGCGTCATGAACTTAACACCTATTGAACACCAGCTTCATGATCCTGATGAGGTCGAAGGTTTCGTCGTGGCAGTAGCCATGGAAGTCGTCCATGTCGATGCTCCACACCATCAGGCCGGCCAGACCGTGCACCCTTGCATAGTTAGCCTGCAACGCAGAGGTTTCCAACGTTAACACGACGAACACTTGTGTTATTGTAAATGAAATTAACAGTGCGCGGAGAAGGGTTATCAGTTAGTAGTTCATGGGCTTTCCCCGCTGTCCGGTCTCAAACTAGGCTTCATAAAATGTAAAGCAAATATTGCAGAAATAAGACCAATTAAGACAGAAGAAATTAAAGATAAGATTGAATGTAAGTAGTTTCCAAGATTTGCTTACTATCGTAAGTTTGTAAGATTTACTTACTGTAGTAAGTTTGTAAGATTTACTTACTGTCGTAAGTTTGTAAGATTTACTTACTATCTGGAGCATTTTGATAATTTTCCTGAGATTTTTATGTAATAATTGATAAAGACAGTGATGTTTGCATAATATTGTAGGATAGGTGTAGTGTTGGTGTGACTTTTGAAAGGTGATAAGTCATAGGGGAACTAATATATCCCTTATAATTTCCTAATTTAATGTAATCAGTTAATTACGTAAAATGTAATTGCTGGAAAAGTTAATGTTCTGACAATGAAAATGTATTACACACCTGAAAATATCACTAAATTTAATTAAATAAATGTATGTGTACAAGATAGAACGAAGAGTAGAAACAAATATGGCAGTACGGGAAGAAATATGATTAACGATTTGGTGAATGTTATTCAAAATTACAATGTCCGTTAGTAATATTAGCGGACCATTAAACGTTACAAGATAAGTGAAGAGGAAGGGTCCAGATTTGTAATAAAACGACAGAATAAGGATTCTATTAATGGAAAACAGGAAACAGTAGCTGAATTAGAAGCCCTATTGTCTACCGCATGTATCATCCAACAATCACTGTACACCTCCCAGTGGGTATTAACCTCCACATAACAGGTAACGTAGCTGGTATTGGCCAGTATTAGGTTACCTACAGTTTGGTAAAATGCTCACTCACTGAAATAACATATTTAATAAGAGAAAAATGTAGATCAAACAAAATACTTAAAGTGTCCAGTCCAATTAAATTCTTTATAATTATATAGTCCAATTAATAACCAATTTATTGGCGTAAATTTTTATCAAAAAATATACAGGAATCATGTGTTCCTAATCCAGGGTCCCGGAGTTAGAGAGTTGAGACGGAGGGACATTGTGACCCCAGCGTTCCTGAAGTACCATAAGTCTCCAAGATAATCAACATCAGAAAGTTACAATTTGTTTTGTATCAAGAGTTCTCCCCAGTGTGTGGGTGGAAGGTTAATTCGAGATTGTGTTGAGAAAAATCCTCAATAAACTTTTACTTGCTATCACAAGTTCTCGTGATACAAAAAAAAAAATCTGAATTTCTACCAGAGAGCAAGACACTTAATAAGATGTCCTTATAATGTATAAAGTGCCCACATCCATGATTCAAATTCAGATGTTTATTTCCTTGTAAAGCTTACATTGTGCAGTTTACATGTTATAAGACATTAATTACAAAAAGGCCACTAGCATACCTCGGCATTTCGGGCAGACTAACATTAATTCTTACTCTGTACTGATATAGGTTATGGAGCAGTACATTTGAACATATTATGAGATACATACGTAATTAGATACATATATAATTAGGTACATACATAGATTTAAAATAGTTAGGTAGCACAAATCATATAATAATATTAGAAATGGTAGATTTAGTAATGGGATTGGATTTGTCTTGGCATGATACATTGTTTCTATTAAAGTCCATGTACCGGAAGAGTATCTTAAGCTAACTTAGGACTAACTTAAGATTTAATAGGCAATAGCTATATTAGGAATTTTGTGTTTACACTAATTTGGTTGGGTGTAAGTGTAAATTAGGGGAGAATTACAGATATCGAGAGTAAGACTATATTGTTTTGGATGTGCTCATGACACAAGAAAGAGAAATAGGTGGTTTTCATTTGGTTAGCCGATGATGTGGTGTGTTAGGGAGATGAGATATTTTTCAACGGTAGTTTTGAAAATGGTGGTTGAGTCTGCGGTTCTAGAGTTTTCGGGCAGGAAGTTCCAGATTTTAGGCCCTTTTATGCACATCGAATTTTTGTAGAGGTTTAGCCGGACACAGGAAATGTCACAGAGATTTTTGTGTCTGGTATTGTGTCTATGGGTCCTGTTGCAACTGTCAAGAAGGCGTTTTAGTCCAGGATTATTATTAGAATTTATGGTTCTGTAAATGCAGGTTGCACAATAGTAGGTGTGGATATTCTGTACGTTGAGTAGGTTTAGGTCTCTGAAGAGTTGGGGCGTGTGTTGTCTTACATTAGATTGCGTGATAATTCTTACTGCGGCTTTCTGTTGGGTTATTATTGGCTTTAAGTGGGTTGCTGCTGTTGATCTCCAGGCACAAATAGCATAGGTGAGTAGGGCTGGTTGTGGTACATACTAACGTATCTTGGAGAGGATCCCAACTGCTTTGGATACTTTGTTTGCTATTTGTTGGATATGGGTGTTGAATTACAGGTTGCTTTCATGGTACAGGCCCAGGAATTTGCCCTCATTGTGTTTGCTCAGCAACAATCACTACCACCTGGGTGGCAGTGATCCTTGTTACCTTGTTAGCCGCAGAGGTGTAGTTCTCGTAGGAGCACCAGAGATCGTCCCGGTAAGTGTATGGCTCAGTCAAATTCTCTGCTGTCTGGATCACCCACGCGTCTGGCTCTGTCTGCTGGCCGTAACAGATCTGTGGGATAATAGTTGACGGCTCAGACTTGGTTGTTTGACTAGAGTTTGTTTTTGCATCACACAGGGATGAAACTAGACAATTGTTGAGACTGGTCGAAACGTAGTCTGGTTTTAATTTTTAATTTGTGAGTTAGAAGATAATTATGACTAGGACTAAATCGTAACTAGTATAGTCGCTTTGAGTAAATGAAATTATTCACATGTAAATCTCCTTCCAGAGTTCAATTTTATATATTTATTTCAGGAATAAAGTTTACTTTTTTCCACCTCGTAATAAGCCAACATGCCGCTGGCCTGGGTCCAAGGACCTGGTTCACCAGGATTACTGGCTGGTGAGTAGTAGTCTGTCTGGGTGGGGTCGTCCAGAGTCCAGCAAGTGCCGTAGAGAGGAACACCCAGTGCCATCTTGTCTCTCGGCATCCCTTTCTCTGCCCAGTAGTTGATGGCGAAGTCCTGTCGTTAAGTTAAAGTTAGTGAATTGCTAGATAGTTACAATTATATACTAAGAATGCTGAGATATATCAACCATGGCTACATGCTAGCAAATAGAGGCAAGCATAGCTAATGTATATCGTAGTCAGTACCAGCAGGTAAAGCCAGTCGGTATATTTGCCAGTTATAGCTAGCAAACAAAGTAATATTTATCATAACTTATAACAAAGATTTACCAAAAATTAAACTAAAACATTAATTAAATTCAGCGAAAAAATTACTAAAATATAAATTAAATAAATACAACAGCTAATTCTAGAATTATTGCAACAACAATCTAAAGCTTACTTTAACACTATGATATTTTTTTTTCTATCTTAAAACACAAATAACCCGCACATTGTCTTTGTAAATGGTCCAAGTCGGACCGAAACGTCGTCGTAAGCTTCTCTCTTTTATGTGCGGGTTATTTGTGTATCGTTCCAGTCACGGTATTGTGCCTTTTTTTGTTATCGGCACCATGCCCAGCCCTTTTAAGGTAGGGTAGGTGCCTGAGCCCGAGCTTGCAGCTCACAACCCTGCCATTCCCATTAGCCCCCTTGGGGCGGGGATGGCAGACCCCGTGAGGGCGGGGAATGTGGCTAGGCCTGAGGACAGTTGGTCCCAACGATGAGGAGGTACTTGTGCCTCCTCCCATGGGAGACTTAGGTCTCAGACACTCCCTAGAGAGGGAGCCAAGGCCGGGCCAACACTTGGAAAAGGCCCGGGCCGGAAGAATACCGGCGAATCTTTTAAAAAAAAATATTTACAACAAAAGTGTGAATGAAAGTTGTATAAAGTTGCATTTGATAGATTATCGTATACTGACATACATCACGAGGAACAATTTACTTGTTCTCATTTATTTTTAGTTTAATATGTTAATTATGCACCCCATACCCATTCTGTGGGCGGTTGTCAAAAGATTACAGAGGTACATAATGGGTCCAGTGACTGGGCCCCAAAGTTTTGATAGCTGAACAAGTTACAAAGGTAATGAACTCCAGGTAGATCTGGTCACAATCATGACAAGTTACAAAGGTATTTACAGATTACAGAGGTACATAATGGGTCCAGGGACTGGGCCCCCAAAGTTTTGATAGATGAACTAGGTACAAAGGTAATGAACTCACAAGTTACAAAGGTAATGAATCCTGTAAGTAAAGTTACTTACTTACGTTTATACATGGCTACAATCATGAACAAATTATAGAGTAATGAGCAATTCGTACGTCCACACCCGGTCACAACTGTAATGAGTTGTTGGTGCAAATATTAATTGTTGGGTCACACACACACACACACACGCTCAGGGGATTGTCCTACGAAGAAAGGTTGAGGGAAATCGGCCTGACGACACTGGAGGACAGGAGGGTCAGGGGAGACATGATAACGACATATAAAATACTTTGCGGAATAGACAAGGTGGACAAAGACGGGATGTTCCAGAGATGGGACACAGAAACAAGAGGTCACAATTGGAAGTTGAAGACTCAGATGAATCAAAGGGATGTTAGGAAGTATTTCTTCAGTCATAGAGTAGTCAGGCCGTGGAATAGCCTAGAAAGTGACGTAGTGGAGGCGGGAACCATACATAGTTTTAAGGCGAGGTATGATAAAGCTCATGGAGCAGGGAGAGAGAGGACCTAGTAGCAATCAGTGAAGAGGCGTGGCCAGGAGCTATGAATCGACTCCTGCAACCACAAATAGGTGAGTACAAATAGGTAAGTACACAAATAAATGAGTACACGCACGCACGAGTATACATACACACACGAGTACAAGAACAAGTGTTGCCACAAGGGTAGCCACACATTGCAGGTGATGCTAAGTTCGTTATAACACCACCTAACTTACCGTGTTGAGGAACCTGGCGTTGTCGACGTCCTCGGAGTAAGGGTAGAGGCCCGAAGCGTGGTGCACGAAGTTCTCCCAAGTACCGTGGAAGTCGTAGGTCATAATGTTGGCAATGTCCAGGTGCTCAGCGATGCCAGGCACGTCGTAGGCCTCGTCTATTGTATCCTTCCCAGAACTCAGGGCAGCTGTCAGGATCATACCTTCTGCTTGCAGTGCCTCATGAACCTCGCTCAACAGAGTCACAAAGTTTTCCTACATATAAAAATACAGTATGCTTTTAGTATGATTTATTTTTTCTCAGAGCATTACAGTGTGAAAGGTTCAGTACTATTACACAACCCAGTCCAGTGGCGGCTCATAGCTAAAATTAGTGGAGGTGCTGCTTCAGAAAAATTTTAGTCATTATTTAAATGTTGCGTAAAACAAAACAAGCAAATAAAATAGCTGGAAGAGTGATAATCATCTAATTCTACACTTTATCACAGTCAAGAATATGGTACATGGTTTTTAAGCACAACACACGTCACTGAGTCAAAAAGAAACACTACCTTACACTTGCACAACAGGGTCGGCACTGCGTCAGTAACAGTGCTCTCTACCTAGCGTGCAGCGTCTTATCTCGGACATCTGCGAACAACAGTCAAATACCGAGTCGCTGGAACTGTGAAGTGCACAGTTCCGTAAAAGGATTTTTATATTTTTTTCATGTACTAGGGGATGGATACTGACATTAAGCTTAAGGATTATATAATGTTCAAGTA